ATCCACATTTGGCTTTCCTTCTACCCCTAAAAAACTCGTTTCCTTCTTTTTACCGGTATAACTAGCTGATTCCGCAACTCGCCGTCTCGCAAAAATCGTTTACGGCATCCCGAAAATGATTTTTGTAGGACACCGGACGTGCATCCAAAACAGACCCTACAACTAATACCGCATATTCAAACTTCTAGTTTGTACGGAAACATAGATCATCAGAGTTCATCAAACATAGCATAAGGCAGTTCATCTACTACATAGCATAGGAGAGTTCAATACAAGCCGAAATTAAATATCTACCGAAACTAAACGGAAAGCATACTACATCTACATCCACATTTGGCAAATCCGCCCCCCTAAAAATCTATGAACGCGTCTGGACACAACCACCGGCGGCGTAAATTACCGTCGGACAGCTACGCTCCTTGTATATAAACCCTTAAATCCACGCATGTCCATCATATAGCTCAAATTTATTACAATTCAACAATGCAACGAAGCAAACTAAATCACAATTCTACAATCCAGACATGCTATAATGAAATTAAATGTCTGGACCACGGCTGTCCGACGTGGTGAATCACTTGTCGGACGCCATTCGTGTCGCATGCTCTGTCATGGCCGCCATCCATGTCTTGTTCGCTGCTTCGATGCCCACTCTCGGTGTCCCGTACTCATTACGCGGGTTGGTCTCCTTCTTATTTCCCTCAAGCCACTTCTTACCTTCAGCATCCAAGAGACTTGCGTTGACCAACATTATTCTCGACTCATTGATGTCTCGAGCAAGTTGCAACCTCTCCTTCTCAAGCTCTATTGATCCAAAAATCTGGGCCTTCTCGATCTCCCATTTGACACACGTCTATTTCTTCTCCAACTCTATCTTCTTCCTCTTAATTTGCAACTTGTGGTTCGCCCTCTCTCGGTCCCAATCCGTTCTCTCTTTTTCGCATTCAACATGACTTTGTACATCTCCTCTTTCTTCTCCTCCCTCGTGAAAAAATGCTTGGCTACATGGTGCACATTTTTGTCGCCGCAGCATCACGGGTGGCTCTACCCTTCTCCCACTTGTTTCCCATCACTTGCCAGTTATTCATTGACACGGTAGCTCAGCCATTCTCCCCAACAACTTCTTCTGCTTTGTCATCCAATACAATGGATTGGTTTGGAGCTTGAGCCATCAATTTCCTTCAACATCTCGTTGCCGGTTTTGAGATCTTTCACAAGTTGTATCCACTTTAGTTTGCCATTCAATTTCATCCAATGATGGCGAAAACCAAATGGCTTCTTTTCAGTTTGTTGGTACAAATTAATCATGAGAATGTAACATAAAAAACTAGGAAAGCAAATTATGGCAAAACGAAGCAATTCAACTTACATGGCTTGTGACTACAATCCCACATTGATTCTATTGTAGCACGAAAGCATAGTGGCCAACAAACTTGTTTACGTTGTCTTGGATGGTGGACCATCTATGTTGGAGATAGGTCACATTGCGGGGTGGTATTGATAGGTTGCGGCTCCACGTATTCCTTGTGTTCATGATAGTGCTTGTCGATATTCTCCCAATGCAGGTTGCCCTTTTGCTCTATGACACATATAGGGTCCATGCTTGTGGCCAACCAAGATTCAACCAATAAAATATCCTCAAATGTTGTGAATGTCAGACATCTTGCCTTGGGTATCTTTGCCTTCTTTTTCTTGGTAGTGCCCGATGTTCCCCCAACATCAAACATAGGACAATTTGGACCCCCCCAGGTCATATTCCATAGGGTCCATAAGCTCTTGACCCTCATTGATCATGTCCAACATGATATTATCATAAAATGATCATGATTCCAAACAAACCAAGGACATATGCAACTAATTGGTGTAATGACATATGAAACTAATTGATATAATGACATAGCAAATAATGAATGAAGCGATACAAAATGGATCAAAAAAAGTATCATGTCCTGCCGGGACATTTTGTGGAACAAGACCTGGATAGAACAAGTGTCGGTGCTGCCCACTTGTCTGCACCCATTGCAGTTGCGACGAGTCGCATACCATCTCGACCACCTCCATTTGCGTAAATCTGTCTGCAATCACCCATCCGGACACTAGATCATCGTCGATCGCGGGTGGAGCGGGTGGTGGCTTTCCCCGTTGGTGCCAGGCCAGACGCGCGGGGGATGACTAGGCGCGGGAGAAGGGACAGATCCTCCTCGGTGTCCACAACCTCCTTCGCCGCTAGCCCGCTCATGTTGCTTCCTTCGTTGCTCCCTTCGGGCAACGTTCTCCGCCTTGCAGCTCACCCCCATAGATGACACCGATGCATCATCCATGCTGGCAGCGGGGGACGAGGTACTTGAGGTCGACATCTAGGGCGGTGGCGTGGATGGGGGAGGAAGGGTGGAGGACGGAGACGACTCGAACACGGGAAATGAAGGACAGACGCATGAGGAGGGCGGTGGGTATGTTGGACTTGGTCAATTTGGTGGAATATGAGGTGGGCCTGGTCTATCTGGTCTAACATGGCAGATGCATCGGGGTGTGTCCAAGCTGGCCCATATATGTCGAAGATATGAGGGGTGTCGGTCTGCCCAAACGTATAGGGCCGGTTTTGAGGAGCCTATCTGGGTCACGATTTTGTGACCGGTCACTCACCTGACCGTCCAGTCAGACGTATAGATGGCATTTGAGGAGCCCGACTATGGTTGCTCTAAGAGCATCTTCAATCAGATCCATTGCAATACGAAGAAGCTATTGAACACATTGACCATGAGCGATTCTTTTAGAAACGTTCTCTGGCACGTTTAGTTTTCATGTGTAAATCTTAAAGCAACAGACGTGGCAATCCATGCACCCTCATACACCATCTAGAATGAATTTCATGTGTAACGATGGCAACCTAAGATTAGCATGGCAATTTGGCATGTTCAACCTGTTGTAGTATGGCAACTCCTGTGTAGCATGGCAATTGAGCATGTTGCAGCATGTCAACTTCACTAACATGTGAGCAAAATTTTCCTTTTTAGCAACAAAATTCTTTATGTTGCATCACGACAATATGAATTTTGATCCATATCCAATAAAGATGCCCTTGTGATTTTTTGGATCAAGTTTAGCTAATTGAGATTTCTTGTTGAGAATGAAACACCCATTTCTGAATACAATAAAGTATTTAATGGAGTCTTTAGTCCTGAGTTTATATGGAGTCTTATTTTTGAGCATGCGGAGATAGAGCCGGTTCGATGCATGACACACGGTATTGATGGCTTCAACCCAAAGCTTTAAGGAGGTTTATATTCATTGAGTGTATGGTACTTTTCATCTCTATGGGTGCCACTTCCTCTCTATCACACCATTTTGTTGAGGGGTGTGTGATGTGGCATACTAATGTCTGATCCCCTCATCACTAAAGAAATCATCCATTGTGTAATTCTTGAACTCGGTATCATTTCCATATTTAAATCTACTGTTGTTGTTTCATCTTTACTCCTGAGAAAGAACACTCATGTATATCTTGTATGGTCATCAACAACGACAAGGCAAAACCTCCTCCCTCCCAAACTATCATAAGATGGATGATCCCGAGCTCGAGCTGAAGCTTGCTCGGGTCATGGAGGACATGGCGACGGTGTGTGCGGACTAGCCTTACATGGCGGCGCTGAGGGAAGGAGAGGGGTGGAAGTGGTCGAGTGTAGCGACCAGACCTCAAACGGTCCAATCTCTGAGCTCAGGTGTCATCCCTGGATCAGTAATGCTGACACCACACAGTACTTAAAGGATTTATAACAGAGTAGCAATCACACACTTATTACATCGAGTGTCTCAAAAGAGAGCTTATTACAATAAATATGGCTTAAGGCCATCTAATAACGATAACAGCGAAAGGCTTGGAAGATAAGTGAGTCCATCAACTCCAACGACATCACTAAGTATAGAACCACGACCTAAAAGCACCTTAATCGTCGTCTGAATAGTCTGCAACATTAACGTTGCAGCCCGAAACGGGTCAGCACATGGAATATACTGGCAATGTAACACATAGAGAGCAATGAAAGAAATAGGCTATACTACATGCATATTTGGCTGATGGAAAGCTCTATGGTTACAGTTTT